TATATATTCCAGTAAAAAATTTTTTTATGCATGAATATGTATAAATATGTATAATCGTACATAAATATTCATAAACATACATAATTATATATGAAGTATGTCCATTGTTCATATATCCCTCTTTTTTTTGAAAATTACTGTACTTTAGTGTAATAGAAATATTAATAGTAATGTGAAAATATTAAAATAATTAAAAGGTTAATTTTCACACTATTTGTTTTAGAAAAAAATCAAATTTGAAGAAATGAAAAAAAAATTTCTTGTAATTATATACAATGTGTATAATTATGTATAATGATATACAAAATTATGCATGCAAATTGTGCATGAGCAATTTTTTTTATATTTCTTCAAAATTGTTTTTTTCAAAAACCAACACTGCGAAAATTATCTCTTTAATTATTTTTCACATTGCTATTATTATTTCTATTACATTAAAAAATAATTTTACAAAAGAAAGGAGATTGATATATGACATATATGGGTATATTTCATATATGAATTCTTTAATTGATAAGTGGCATAAGTCCAAAATTAGGAAAAATGTGTTTGTTATAGAAATAGAAAGTATTAAGAATATTTGTTTTATCAATTTAATTTACTTTTATTTTGTTTTTATATTCATAAAAAATAAAAATAAATTTTACATTATAAATAAAGTGACCGTAAAAAAGCTGGAATAATGACTTAAGACCAGCTTTTTTTATAATCATTTCATTTATGATGTAAAATTGATTTTTATTTTGTATGAACATAAAAACAAAAATAAAAGTAAATTAAATTGATAGATAAAACCAATATTCTTAATACTTTCTACTTCTATAACAAACACATTTTTCGTAATGTTAGACTTATGCCACTTGTCAATTAAGGGGCTCATATGAATATTTATGTATGTTTATACATATTTATACATATTCATGTATCAAAAATTTTTTACTGGATTATTTTATAAATTAATGATTTTATGAATGATTTTTATCTTTTTCCTTTAATATATGTATATTGTAGATTAATCTTGGTTCATATTTTTATTTTATTTATTATTTTATTTTATTATCTTATTTTTCATCTTTTTATAGTTTTTATAGTTTGAAAACCGATTTTTCATACGCAGTGCACACTACGGCAACAAAATGTCATGTGATTCAAATTTTCAAGAATTCGATTGAAAGTGTATCACCTCGCTAAAATTTTTAACCAATAATGACATTTTGTTGTCGCAGCATATTGTGCATGAAGAGTCAGCTGTAGAATTAAAGAAGATGAAGAGTAA